TTGTGATATGAATTATTAGAATATAAGATATTTTACCATTGTTTTGTTATTTTCCTTTTAAAAAAAAAAAGTAGGTATACAACTCTTAGCAAATATAAAGGTCAGTCTCATAAAGCAGGAAAAATGGAAGGTTTTTTCCAAAGGAGAAATGCTTAAGGTGATAAACGGAAAATACCCAGAATAGGTAATATGTAAGGTGTCATCTAAGGAGCAGAAACATAACAGATGAGAAAAGATTGCACAACAAGGCAAGGACCGGAAGCCACTCAATTCTAATTGGGGTCTAGAAAACTGAGTTAAGGATAATAGAACATACTGGGAGAAAAATAGAACCTAATAACAAGAAAATAGGCAATTTTAAATGAAACATTTATCTCAAAGCTTGTATCTCTTTGCTTTAGAAACACAACAATGTTATTTTGTACATGTTACCCAGAGCCTTTATTTTATCTTGTACTTTTACAGAGAAATGAAAAACCTTAGGAAAAGTATCTCACAAAAAAACAGGCTTATAACTATAATCAGTATGTATGCTTTCAGAAAATTTTGAAAACTCTCAGTTGCTATTTGTGTTTGTAAAAGTCTGTGAGTGCACATGTAGCATACACCTATTTGCACTGTAAATGTGTACACAAGATGCTTCTCTGACAATGGAAAATAATTGAGACTTATCCCAAAATTCTGAAAGTAGGCTTACTAGTTTTGTTTTTCAAACTTCTGTCTTGGCTCTATATTTAACAAAAATCTCTCCCTATAACTCTCAGTTATTATTCTTAAGATAGATGGAGAGACTATTGTTAGGTTCAATCCCTCTAGCTCTGTGTGGAAATGAATATGGAAACTAGCTATTTTGTATCTTCATGAAATGCTACCTAATGCTGCTTCCCTGTCAAGATGTTACACTGGTTCGAAGGTGACATGAAGATTAGGCAGAACCATTTGCTGAATGATTTAAAAGATAACCCCATATTTAGAATTAGGTGAGAGCTACATAATTTTGGAAACAAATAGTTTGAAACTTAGGAACAACTGCTAAAGGTACACATTTACCTTTCTAATCAGAGGTCAAGTGTTTTCCAAATCATCTGGATTCTATCAGGGATGTATTATGACTGTGAAACAGGTACATTGCAGCCTGCTGTGAAAAAAAAAAGCATATAATGCAAAGCTCCTCCTGAAGGAGCTACTAGTGTTCTCCAGTCATCGTTTACAAGTGATTGTTATTATATATACACCGGTGATTATTATATATACAACTAATTGTTATTATATATACCAGTGATTGCTATTACATATACCAGTGATTGTTATTACATATACTATTGCTATTATATATAGAAGTGATTGCTATTGTATATACAAGTGATTGTGACTATATATACAAATGATTGTTGTTATATATATCCCTTAAAATAATTTATCAATCAATGGTATGCCTTGCACCAAACAGGGAGAAGATGTTACTAGATACAATAGATATGGTATTGACCATAAACTTATTGTTGTGAATTCTAATAAAAAAATCCAAATCATCAAGCATATCAATATACAATTATTCCACACATTATTAGTAACTACTGGCTAATGCTGCTGCTAACAACTGTTCACATATATATTTGCACACTTCCTATTGAAGAAATATTTATGACTTACTTTTTAAAGTATCTCTATAGGTAAAACTATTAGCTATTTACATTTTGTGTATCAAAGTCATCCAAGATAGTGAAGTAAAATGTGTTAGAATGTTTCTTTCTTTGGGGATTTTTTTTTTGTTATAAATTTGAGATGTATCTTATCTGTGAAATGTGCTTGAAATATAGACAAACATAACTATTTGCTAGGTTAAAAGTATGGAAGTTGAGTGAAAAAAAAGAAAATAGTCATAATTATAAATTTCTTACAAATTTTTTTCTTTGCATAGCTCTATCTCAACAAACTTGCAGATTTTTAAAGGCATCACACTAACTAGAGTATCAGTGGAATCTGCTTCAAATAATTATAATTCTATAAGTATTCATGTTTCATACTTCCTATAAAAGTATAAGAAAAAGCATCTTAATAAACATAAGTGTTCTTATAAGTGAAGCTTCCTGTGGCTGAATCTTTCAAGTCCTTGAAACTCCTGAAAAAACATTTTACTTTATTCTTTACAAATGATATTACCAATTAAATCATATACTCCAAGGCATTACTGTCTTTGTTTTCCTCATAATGCTCACATAGTTAATTGATTATTCACAAGCTTATTAATATACTCATAGCAGGTTAGATACTAAAGAGGAAACAGCTGATCAAAAAACTTTTTATTTAGATTTTAATTAACATGCAGAGTAAAGGGTATCATTATTGCAGTTTCAAAACTACCCCATCCTAATATATATATTTGTGCCCTGTTTTCCTATTGATTTAAAATAAAGAATATGATGTGTGTTGATACGTTGCAATTAAAAATAACCATCCAGACACACAGTTTCCTCATTCTTACAATTTATATTACCAAATTTCCAAATTTAAGACAAATATACAATTTTCAAGAGCCATTAAACCTAGGTTAGCCTTCATCCAAAAATTTCTGCATAACCAGCAGCAAACAAGAATATCTATACCACTTATTCATAAAGTACACTGGTTAAGGCTGATTGATTAAGAATTATAATAAAGGCATTTTAAGTTTTATCAGTCCTATTTTGTTGGAAAGTCTCAAAACCTTATGATTTCTTGCTTCCAATTTATGAGAACATATAAATGGAGCTACAATTTGGAAAACACTAACTTTCTCAGCCAAGTCAACTTGTGTTAGAGGCTATAATGTGTGTCTAGTGAAAGATGATTTGTGTCAGTTGAAGCTGTAGCCTGGGGCTATACTTGGTGTGTTATTGTTTTAATCTAGTTTTCGTAGTCTTGGAGTGTATCCTTGAAAGTCCAGAGAAGAGTGTAAAAACATAACCCAGCTTGATCATTAAGAATGTCTAGGAATAACAAGAATGAAATTCCAGAGTATTCATTTTGGTAAATAGTTTAAATTACATTGAAATCTTTCTGGAGAATTAGTAGTATCTACTATGAAGTAATAGGTAAAGTTTAGTACAATGTAATAGAAACCTTTGTCATCAAGCCATTGAGAATTTAAGCTAAAATAGGCTTTTAGAAGGTCAGCTACAAAGGCTAAAATTTTATATCAAATCCATTGAGAAGCACAAAGGAAAAAAGAAATATACTGGTTGAATGAACCTTATCAATAATAAAACTCCTTTAACAATGATTTAACCTGCACAGAATTAATAAAATTTTTATATAAAATACATTAATCTCAAAATTAAGAGACATTATGGGTATTATATCACAGTATTTGAATACAAAGCATTTATAAGACAATATGATATTATAAAAGGAGGTTAATATTATTAAAATACACTTTGAGTTTTCTGGTTTTGCCAATAGAAGAAAATAAAAACTTATTTCATTGTCATATAAAAATATATTCACTGACGATATCAAGGTAGAAAAAAATCTCATTTAATTTTTTGTATAAATGTTCTAGCTCTTAATGTATGTTACAACGTTTGTTCAAATTTTTATTACATTTTTTAAATTCTTATTTTATGAAAATCAGTCACACTAGAAGGAGACGGCCTGCAATTGGGATGTAAAGAGAATTAATTAATTAATTAATGGAAAAGTTATACTAGATATTTTGATTATATAACACTTTGTTTAAATACTCATACCTAAAATGAAATGTTATTTTGATATAACTCATCAAAATTACCTTAAAATTAATTTACACATATATTTGATTGTATTATTTTATTATGTTAATAATAATTTTAGATACAATATTTTATGTTATTAAGGAAATTGAACATTAGTCATAGAAATGAGAAATAAAATGTGTTATTTATCAGTATTAAAGTTTACAGGAAAAGAATCGAGACTGATACCATTAATATTTCTAATAGTATTAATACAAAATTATTAACTGATGTCATTTACTGTTATATGGATGTAGAAATTATGGATCTGCAAATATATTGTGATTATAAGCATAATATAATATCTAAGCATATCAATAATATTTTACATGCAACAAATCGAAGAACAAACAAGATAAATTAAGATCACAATGAGTCTCTGATATATGAAAATAAATATCTTCTCATTTAGAAACTAAAGAAAATTTATTTATAGCTCTTACTTATAGCTCTTATTTATATTTCCAAACATTTTCTAATAAAGTATCCAACATCTACATATCTCCAAGTGATTTACTAGGAATTATGACTTTTAGTACAGTACTGCCTATATTATAAGTGATTTGGCACTAGTTATTTTTAAGAAATAAGCTCAAATAGAAAAGATGGTTCTGCTTATTAAAGCATTTGTAATGGAAGCCTGATGACCTGTGTTAGAACCCTGTACCCAAGATGGAAGATGAAAAGGACAAAGGGAACTTTTAAACCTTATCCTGTACCCTTCATGGGCACATGCCCAAATGACTCAAATACATACATCACCAACACCACACAAACACATCCACATGTTCACACACACACACACACAAACACACACACACACACACACACACACACACACACACAGAAATGAATTTAAAGAAAAAAACACTTTTCTTCTTTCAAAAATGGTAACAACCTAGCTTGTGCTCTTTCAAAAGTAATGGAACCTGTAAGATAATATTATAATTTATTTCTGCATATTCTGAGTACTAATTATTACATGAATATTCTTGTGAAACTAAAAGAAACATAGGTTTTTTATTTGAAAAATAACACATGGTATTTTTTTAGTTTTATTGATATATTTAGTATAAAGATTAAACTGCATATTCAGTTAGATTAAGGAGGAAAAACCTGTGCAGTAATAAATACGCTCCTGAGCAATAAATTGACAGAACAATCTTGTGTATCACTGCCTACACAATTTTAGCTAACTTCTTCTTATTTCTTCTACTATAATGATGAATTAAATCTTTAAAAGCCTACCTATCATCCTCCTCGTGAAGGGTTCATTACCTATTTGGCATTCCATTATTCCCTACTTTACCCTTAGCAAGGATTCCATGAGGTACTCTAACCTGAGGGGAGACACCTGGTGGGTTTAATTAGATTGCATCTGGCAATAATTAGAAGCAAAGGATAAAAGTAGTAGCAGCTGCAATCACCCAGGTAAGTTCAATTTTTGTACATGAGTCAGACCAGAAGGAAAATTTCCTGACCTTGAAAGGCCATGGAGACACTGTAGATAGGCTCTGAATGCAGAGGGCAGGAGAGAGAAGAGAAGGAAGGAAGGAAGGAAGGAAGGAAGGAAGGAAGGAAGGAAGGAAGGAAGGAAGGAAGGAAGGAAGGAAGGAAATAATTAAGACCTTCAAGCCATAATTTTTCCCCATTAGGTAGGTTTCTGCCGTATGTGAATCCCATGGGAAGCAAGTGCTCTCCTATTGATAAAGTGAATGCTGTCTTGGATACATGTTATCTTACTTAATGAGAGGTTGCATGAGGAAGTGAGCACTTAGTTTCAAACACTGTGCCTGGACTGCTATCTTCAGCCCTGTGGATTTTATGAAGAGCCCAGCAGAAATAAAAACTTAACAATGTCTAATTCACCTGAGAGCTCATTAATGTTAGACTTGGCAGGTGTGTAATCACGTTGTCCTGTAGCAGCCTAGGTGGACACAGGACAGAATTGTATGTAAACAACTTTTAATGACAGGGTGTATGTGGTGAACATATTCTGTAAATACGTATTTGCATGAAGAGCATCACAGCAAAGTTCAACAGGAAGTGCAGAGATTTTAGTATGGATTTTGTTTCTTAAACAGGCCATTGTCTTTATATCTTGAGTAATTTTAAAATGCTCTAAAATGTTCCCTGTCTCATCTCTGATAAATGTTATTTTGTATGAAATGAAACTGTTGATATGCACATTGTACCTTAACTATGTTGGGGATGTTAATATTGACTGGTTTATAAGAAGGTATACGCTGGATTTTTGTGAGTGAAATTTTTCGGTGCAATGACAGACAGAGCATCATATCTTACTCTTCCCAGTCATCTCTCTGAATGTTTCGGTGTCTGTCCCTAGCTCACACTTACATATGCACAGGCAAGAGAAAGACTTGCTCATCATCCTATTTACATGAACCATTTCTAAAATTAACACTGTTTATCTACCGCCATATTTTCCTCATAGTCAATAAAACTATCCAAAAACAACTTCTGAATGCAATAATCAGTAACCTATCTAATGAAACCATTACTAAATTACGTCATATGTTCCTATTATTGTCTGCCACTCATGTCATTCAGATCACTTGATATTTTTTTGCATTTGGTTGATTTCAAAACAAAATTGAAAGTAATTTAGAGGAGGAAATTGTTCTCCTAATTAAAAAATGCTACAATATACAAAAACTTTGATCATATTGATCATATTATTTTAATGAGTATAGCGTCTTCTTGTGCTGGTCAACATGGGAGTCGCTTGCCGTATGTAGGTGTTGAACAATCGAAATGTAGCTAATGTAAGTGAAAATCTGAATTTAGGGGATTAACTACTTTAAAACAACTAGACATTAGGCAGCTACATGTCTTTACATCTATTATAACAGCAAGGAATGTAAAATTATAAAATAGAGTCTAAGGTGAACATCTATGTAGCCAATCAGAAGAAAAGTAGGACAATTGTCTATTTTATATCTGTATATTCTCTTCTGTATTTGCACTCTCAGCTCCTTGAAAACAGAAACAGGGCCTTATCATTTCCTTGTACCTTCAAAATACATGCTTTCCATATTGAAGTTAAGTAGTTGAATTAAAATTTAAAAAAAACACTGTATTAAGAGCAAAATGCATTGTCTGGAGATAATGAATGTGGGGAAAAGAAAATGAAGAAACAGGGTAATTCAATGCAATAAGGATAAAGGTGTGAAAAGCCAGGAATTTATTCAGAGTTGTTTCATTATCAGAAAGATAATCCATATCCAGCCTATATCCTTGAAATGTAAGCAAAGGGGAATATCTTTAGATAGAGATTTTGAGTTTGGGATCAGCAAACCTTAGTGCTGCATAGCTCAGAGCGTAATAGTTCATGCCATTAACCTGCTTTTCATGGGGCCGGAGCAGAGACAGAGGCAGCACTCCTCTATAAAAACTGAGATTCTACTCTAGCTTTGAAATTTTAGCCCAAGTTTAAGCCAGCAAAGATCAAACCATGAAGGGGAATATGATGGAGTAAAGGGTACCATGGTTTGCATAATGAGGGGCTAGCCATGGGAATAGTAGTCGTACTGATCTTGCTAGATTCAAAGCTAAGGGTGCTGCTTTATTCTGCTTTAAGAAAATTAATAAAGAAAACAAAACCTAACTGTTCTATGCATCTTTTATGACCTGTCAATCATTGTGCTTAATGGGATTCAATAATTATTTCTTGTCATAAACACATAGGACTATGCACAAGCACGTTACACAACAGAAAGAGAAAGAACGAACAGTGGTATTCATGGGTTTGAAGTACCCTATGCTTCTCTAGAAACGAGCAGCTATGTTCACACAGTCATTTTCCAACTCTTCTGATACTTAGAAGCACAGGACACAACTCAGATTCCCAAAGGGCTGAGCAAAGCCACGGTACTCATTTCGTTGCACTGGACTAAGCAAAATAATTACCCTGCTATGATTTCTTCAATAAATATTTGGATACAGAATTCATGCTCTATCTTTTGGCTTGATCCTGTCAATCTACTTCATGAACGCTTCATTTAAAAATCACAGCTTTGGCATGTCCACAGAGTCTACGTAGATTGCGCATGCATGCATAAATTTAAACTTGTCAAATAACTTTAATGATCTGTTATCATGCCTCAAAGTTTGCTGAAAAAAAAAGCTTTGATCTTTATTTTTAAATATAGAAAGCACATCAACATGAAGATTGGTGCACGGCATGAAAGATATTTGGAATGAGGTTTGAATTAGTGCTGCCTTTCCTTCACTAAGTGCTGTTGTAAACACCATGCACACTCATCATCTCAGGAAAGTGAGGGGCACCTGAGTCTCTTAGGAAAACCCTCCCAGAAGATAGATCTTGATATTCCACTGTTGGTGAAACTCATTACTCAATTATACGGTGATACCAAAATCCAGATTCTTTTTTTTCTTTTATTCCATTTTTTATGGTGAAAAAAGTTTTGGGTTACAAAAATAGCTATTATTACTATTCCCTAAAGGAATAGAAAAGCATTTTCTTCATCTATTACAGTTATCCTATTGTTTGATGCTAAAGTTGATGTTCAAGTTGATGTACAATAAAGGCAAGATGTGGATTAGTGATCTAGACATGCTGCCAAAAGATTGTGTAATGATGTCTCCTGGAGGCAGAGTCTCAAGTTCTTTAGTTGTCTAAGTTACTTCTAGAATATAAAACATTGAAATTGGAAAATAAATATTATTTTAAATATTAACATGGAACAGATTTTTTCTCATCTTCTGCAACACTTAATTTGAAAATGACTGTTGAATCATCTCCTGAATTGCAAACATATCTTAAGTTTGGCAATTCTGTTCACTGAAAAATATATTTTATTTACATATGTAAATAATTTAGACTTCCAGCTTGATTTTATTTTTGCTACAATGAAGATGGAATCTATGGCTTGCCATGTGCCACATAAGTGCTCAACAAATGAAATTTATCCCTAACCTTGTTTTTTACATTTATTGAGTCAAGACTTCACTACCTAATGTCCTTGAAGACACTGTGAAGAGCCAGTAGGTGATGACTGCACGTCTCTTGTTTCTACTTTCCACGCAGAAAAATGTTAAAGGATTTTTTTCACCATGTACATCTTATTTACATTCTCTGATATGCTTCATGCAGGTTTTGAAGATGTTCATCTAGTATTCAATTATGTCTAAATGAACTTATGGGGAAAAGATAACTCCTTGACTTATTTCGTGTTTTGATAAAAATAATTCTAGCAATTCTTTCACCCAATTAAAGTTTGAAAACAAGCAATACACTGTAAGCAAATACATTATGTTAGATAGCTGAGATCTTTGTGCATCATCTTGATTTTAATTCTCTTTAATTTCTGCTTAGCAAGCATTGTGACTTCTGCAGCTTGGAGCCTTGACTTGTAACGTGCCTGGCCATGGAGATTAAATGTGAATTCTATAGGAGGTAAATAAATGCTGAGCCTAATACAAAATAGAAAGTTATGAAAACTTACTATAATTTCATTAACATATTTTAACTGTATTATAGCACATATATTTGTAAATACTTTCCTGTGTGATATTTTTAAGTCAGAGAAATACTTTCATAGAAAGCTCCAGGATAAAGAATCTCAGCTTGTAAAAATCAAGCAGAATCCAAAAGTTATTGTATTGAGCACTTATCTTGAAAGTTTCCTTTGCTAGATCTTGTCTTTTATGACAGAAATTCCAAATGTATTTATCTGTGGGGACTGAAGGTATGAGATCCAGAGTTACAAACAACAGATTAAAAGAATCTGCCATGTATGAGGCATGACTTACCGCTTGCTAGAGGGGAAAAAAAAAACTCTCCTCATGTAGTAGAGCCAATGAGGCTTTTGTGGCACTTTGCAAGAGAGCAACTTATATGAAGACCAAGGTATGGGACTGGAACTGAAGTCAACCAAGGCACCTGATTTATTTACTGCCTTTACTTTTTCTTGGCTCTAGTGCAGAGGGACAATACTCTAGTGTCCAACACGTTACCACTTTCTGATAGGATGCCAGAGAAGCTCCACTTTTGAACTGAACAAAAAGTTTCCCTTAGACTGTTTAGGTTTTTTTTTTAATTTTTACTAATTATTCCGTTCATTTACATCTCAAATGATATCCCACTTCCCAGTTACCTTCTCTACCAACCCCCCATCCCATGATATCCCACGTCCTGGTTACCCTTCCACCACCACCCCACCCTACTCCCATCCTACATCTGCTGGCCAGCAACTGATCAATGCAGAGGCAGATTCTTGGAGCCAACCATCAGGCTGAACACAGGGAATCTGGTGGA